TGTGCTGGTCCTCTGCTCGGCGCACACGTGTGTGTGCGTGTGTGCGTGTGTGTGTGGTCACAGGCCCACACCTCTGCCGTCCTGAACCTCACGGTACACTACACACGAAAGGGTGAGATGGTGGCCGCACTGTCAGCAGCGCCACCCTATGCGCCACCGGCTGACTAGGGGAGCGGAAGCTGCGCCTGCCCGGACCCCACGCCAGGACCATCCTGAGGGTCTGCTCCCTGGATTCAATGGCCGCTAATCACCTGGCGTCTCCTGAAACTTGCGGATGGATCCGGTGAGGGGCCTGGGGCCAGCGGACCCCAGGGCAGCTGGGTGTGTGCCTGTCTTCTCCGCTCTCCAGCCTCAGGGCCTGAGGCCTGAGCCCTGGGCCCAGCGAGTGGGAGCAGGGCCCTTGCTGGGTCTGTGGATGCTGTTGAAGGTTGTTGTGCAGGAATCAGTGTTACTGCCCAGGAGGCACCCGCCACCCCGTCTCTCTCTCTCACACACACACACACACACATGCATGCGTGCGCACACGCGCGCGCGTACACATGCACACACATACACATGCACACACGCATGCGCGCACACACATGCATGCGTGCGCACACATGCGCACGCACACACGCGCACACATGCACGCACACATACACATGCACACATGTGTGTGCGCGCACACGCACACACATGCACACACATGCGTGCGCACACGCACATGCACACACACATACACACATGCACGCGCACACACACACACGCACGGTGTCTGATGCCAAGGCATTTAGCTCTGAGCCGCACTAGCTGTTGGGGAACGTGCCCCTGGCCTTCCTGGCGCTCAGGCCTGTCCAGCTGGAGAGCCGCGGCCCAGCCTCCGTGTGCTGTTGGCAAGGAGCTGGGCGGGAGCCTGAACACTGCGGCTCCAGGCACAGCGGCTGGTAAAGGCCGCCTCTCTAACCCAGAACAGCCTCAGAGAGGGGACGGCCGAGCTGGCCTCCGAGGACCCAGAGGACGCTGGCGGCGAGAGCACGGCCTGGAAACCAGGCCACCGGAACCCGCCTGCTGCCCTGGCGACGCCCGCTGACCTGGGGCAGGTGCTCCAGCCCCCGCGCTCACGTTTCCACCGGGGAGGGGGGCGCCCCGAAGCCCCTGGAGGGGCGGCGGCCACGCCAGCTGCTATTAGTCACGCAAAGGCAGAGCCGAGCGCTGGGGCGGGCGGTTCTGAACTTCGGCTGCAGGAAGCGTCCACTTCTGTCCGAGCGGAACCACCTTCGGTCCTGTTTCCTCCTGGGGTCTGCACCTTCTCAGACAAGCAGCGAGACCCACGGACCCACGGGAGGCACGTGGGCTCGTCCTGCCGGCCTCCTGTCCCCGGGTCATCCTCAGCGACTCAGAGGACAAGGCCCAGGTCACCGGGGAATCCATGCACGGGGTGCGCTGGCGGGGGTGCTCATGGCAGGGGTGCCCATGGCGGGGGTAAAAATGGCGGGGTGCCCATGGCGGGGTGCGCATGGCCCGTACTGCGGCGGGGGTGGTGCCCATGACGGGGGTGCGCTGGCGGGGGTGCTCATGGGCAGGGGGTGCCCATGGCGGGGGGTGCGCATGGGGGGGTGCTCATGGCGGGGGTGCGCATGGCGGGGGGTGCCCCATGGGGGGGTGTTCATGGCGGGGGTGCCGCATTGTGGGGGTGTCGCATTGCGGGGGTGCCCCATGGAGGGGTGCTTCATTGGCGGGGGGTGCCCCATGGCAGGGGTGCCCATTGGCAGGGGTTG